AGAGATGTCTTTACATGAGAAGGTTTAAGAGTTTATCTTGTGGTAAATATCTTGGATCTATTCTTTAAAAGGTGAAGCCTAGTGATTTTGTACTTTCTACATAAAGTATAAATGAAAAAACCTTCCTTCTTGTTGGATATCATTTGAATCTAATGATTAAAATGTAGTTTATGGATTTTCAATCAATGAAAATTTCATAGAGTTCCAATCTTGTTTCTTTAAGACTTTTGTGTCAAAAGATTTTTCAAAACTAACTCAGAAGTCTTTGGATTTTGGTATCTCATAAGTCTATGACTTTGAGAAAGAGTCGAATTAGTGGATCTTCCTATCAATGGACTTTCCATGATTCTTAATTTGGTTTTCAAACTTTCTTTATCAGGTGATGAAAAATGAATTTTAAGGATATCCATTTTGGTATCAAAAGTTTAAAGGTTTATAAAGTTGAATTGTGCCAACTTTAAAGGTTGAAGTTTTTGACTTGTGTTTAAAACCTTAGTTTTCGAGAGTTCAATCGAGAATTGAATAAAGTTTTATTTCTATACGTCTTATAGGAAAATCTTTATTAAGCTTTGAGATGTATTCTTGAATTTTACATATTTTGGTCATTTAAAAATATGATTTTCGAATGATCATCTATTAAGATGACCTTGTTGAGTCAATGAGTCATATAAATGGTTTGTGTTAAATTGAGTATTATAAAGTAAACGTCATAGTTGAATGAGCAAACTTCCAATTCCAACTTCATTAAAATTATGGTGAATAGTGATTTGCCATGAATTGAATGAGCAAAACGTCATTGTTGCTTTATTTGCCATGAATTGTTTGGTGAAAAGTAATTTTTGGTTAATTTCATATACATGATGGAAAAAGGTTTTTAGAAAGTATTCCAAGAGTTTCGGAATAATTTGGAAAGTGGTAATTTCTGAGATTTCTTTTAAGAGTCAAAAGTGATTTTTCCAAATTTTAACTGTGGTAAATGGTTATTTTTGTTTTTTTGAAATTCTAGTCCAATGCGGATTCAAATTTTGATGAATTATGCATTTGTTTGTGCGTGTGTTTTACGGTGAGTTTAAGCCCTAATCAGTTTTGAGTTCTTGTGTTAAGGTGGCCGAATTTTTGAGCTAAAAATTAGGGTTTTCAAGACCTAGTTGAACTTAAATTTTGGTTACTTGTTTGAGACATAATTTGAGACCTAGTTGTGGTCGAATTTTGTGTTCATATGCGCCGAAAATTTTCAGATGGAATTTAAGGTCATTGAATCTTAGTTGAGTTATGATTGTATTGTTTGTTTTATTTGAGTCCTACTTGGAATTAAATACTAATTTTTGCATTAGTTGAGTTATAATTTTAGTGAGATTATAATTATAGTTATATAGTGTGTCTATTTTCGAAAATTTTGAGATAAGGGAATCTTACCTTAATCTTAAATTTTTTTAGTCTTTTATTACAATTGTGCTTGTGTATTTGGCCGAATTTTTGGGTCCTAATAGTAGGGGGGTCGAAAATTTATCTCTAAGTTTTAGGGATGAATCTTTCATTGTTTTATGACATAGTTCATAAGTTGCGTCCTAAAGGGATTTTGATTACCTAAGTTTTAGAACTCTATCCTTTTATCTTAATAGAGCTGGCCAAATTTCTTCTTCTTTATCCAAAAATTTTAACTGAAAATTAAATCAAATAGGGGGGGATATTTTTGAGAAAATTTAGGCTCTGTCTTGTAGGAGTTTTCTTGCACAAAAAGACTTGCATTGCCTATAAATAATGGTGTTGTTTTTTCGAAAATTCTCGCAGCACTCTTCCCCATTCTTCTTCTTCTTCTTGCTGCCAAGATCACAAGGGATCTAAAAGGGGAGTTCTCTTCTCTTTTATTCTGATGTTTGAGAGTTTAAGTGCTCTTAAAAGCACAAGAGAGTTTTTGTTTTTGGGGAGAGCTAAAACCAAACCTTCCTTTGGTTCATGGGTCGAGGGGGGGGGGTTTGGTGGTTTGTCGAGCCATTCGCTTGGTTCGAAGGTACAAGGAGTTCTTTGTGTAGTCCAAAAGCAGAAGCACAAGTAGTTCTTTCTTGGTGGTTTTTTGAACTTTGTTGAGCAAAGATGAGTTCTGGAGTTGCTGGTTGTTGCCAAACCGTTTCAAAGAGTGTAGATGGTCGCATGGAGTCCCAAATGCAGCTCATGAAGGGTCAGATTGAGTATAAAGTTTCAGTAAGCCTTGAAAGAATTGCTGAAAGTATAAAGTTTTATGTGACCGTTTTCGTATGTTGGCATGCTAAAAGTTTCATTACCGAGAGATGTCTCATTCGCTTTCCAAACAGCAAGAAAAGGTTTCAGTAAGCCTTGAAAGAATTGTTGAAAGTATAAAGTTTTATGTGACCGTTTTCGTATGTTGGCATGCTAAAAGTTTCATTACCTTTGTTTTATGGTTGTCATAGAAATTATGAGACTTGGGAATAGGGCATTAAAAACTTGTTTGTCTTGCTTAACATAGAGAAAGAAAGTGAGAAATAAGCCTTCGCTGTAGGTTGTTTTCGATCAAATGCTTTAAATTCGTGGAAGTTAGTGTCCAATATTTAATCGCACCATTGGTTTCGTAACTGTGATGATTGGAGTGAGTTTAAATGTGCTTTACGTGAAAGATATCTTAGTCCTGACACCTTTGTTGAAGAAAAAGTTAAGTTGCTCAATTGTAAGCAGAATGGTAGACCATTCAATCTTACTATGAGAACTTAGAGGGCATGTTCTTGAGCTCATATGTGGACGAGAATGACTATATGTTAACTGATCATTTCCACTATGGGTTGGATGAGGAGTACAAACAACACCCGAAGATTAGACAGCAATCGAAGCTCTATGAGGCGTATTACACTGCCTTGGAGGTTGAGAGAGAGCGTGATGCTTCTAGTGGCTGGAATGATCCAATTAGGGATCATGGTTTGGCATTTGGAGTCGAGGGTGGAGATCAACGGACTTGAATCTTCCGCACTAAGTGTTCGGTTAGTTGGTCCGATGAAGTTGATTTAGTAATCGATGGTGGATTGAGTACTAATTGCATAAGTGAAGAGTTCTACATAGCAAGTGGAGTCAAGATGGACCCGCACACTAGGCTGTATAAGCTTCAATGGGTAAGCGAGGATATGGTGGTGGATATCAACAAGAAAGCTATGGTAATGTTTCAGGTTGGTGAATATATGGATGAACTCTATTTTGATGTAGTTCCTATGACATTGTGTGATATATTATTGGGTAGACCTTGGCAAATTGACGTAGATGCTATGCATTATTGTTCGAAGAATATCTTGTCTTTACTAAAAATGACGGGAAACATGTTTCACCTTTGGCTTATGAAAATGCTGAAACTATGCGAGAGAAACGACGTAAGATTTCTTTTGATATACAAGGGAGAGAAAAAGTCGAGAGAGTGAGGCAAAAATGGAGAAAGGGTGACGATGATACAAGACTTGAGGCAATAGAAAATCATGAAAATCGAATGGAAATAGATAAAAATACACGCAATGAGAAAAAACAAGAGTGTGGTCAGGGTGAGGATTTAACTAACCCTTATATCTCGTAGTTTGTTCCTTGTGCAAGTTTAGAGGTTGATGATTCGAGGACGAATCATCTTAAAGAAGGAGGGGGTGATGAGAATCATGTAGCCTTCCATGGAGGGTCTCTTTCCTAGGGAAATGAGATGATTCTTCATTCTTTTTTTGGAATGCCAAGTTTTCTTTGTAGGCCATACAAGGAAGAAAAGATGGATCTTGACTACCTATGTGATTGGGAGTTGGTTCTTGCAAACTATGATGAATATGATGAGCATGTCATTAACTTTGGGGATCAAACCAAATGAGATGATTCACTCATGGAGATAAGTACTGAAGAGTATCAAGGGAGTTTAACTCTAGGTGAGAGCCATGAAGATTATTGGTCGAGCAAGCTAAAGAGAAGTCATTTAGGTTCTTGAGTGCACGGCCTATTTGATAAAGAGTTCAATATTGAGTCCACTGCTACACAATTTGGATAAGGTACAAACTATCTTAATTGTTTAAAGTGTTTTTGGATTCTTGTGGAGTCAATAAAGAGAGTTTTACAAGTTTTGGAGTAAATTGAAGTCTTTTACAATTTGAGGGGTGCAAGACCAATATTCCACCTTTTAGAAGGGCGTTCTAGATATTTTACTTCATTATTTGGTGTTGAATTTTAAAATTAGAGTATTATCTAGTCTAGGAGTTTATTTTCGAGTTATCTAGTTAAAGATAAGCCATGTGGGCTGAGTTAAATTAGAGTGTTTTGTTTAGGAGTGTTAGATTCCTTCTAATCATTATCCTTTTTAAGGATAAGTGAATGTTTATATAAGGTGTCTTAGATTTAGATAGAGCCAAAGAGATTAAATACTCTTCTAACTCTACTCCTGCGAGTAAAGAGTCCTAGCTGGTTTTTCTTTTTAAGTGCTTTGTGACCAAGTAAGGTAGCCTATAAATAGGGGGCATGGCCGAAGGATCAAAGTACCCGTGTGTGGTTATTTATTTTCTTCTCTAATGAGAATTTTTTCCTTTGAAAAATTTTGTTAAATGGTGTGTCTATTTTTTGGTTCAAGTATGTTTAATCCATGAGGGGTTTTCATCTTGGTTTGGATCTTTGAGATCTTGAAAAAAACAATTCTTTTTCAAGTATTCTTCTTGATAAAATTGTGTTAAGATAGTATGTCTGTTGCATATCTTTGTTGGTTATGGAGAATACTAATCAATAGTATTCCTCTATAGTTGAGTATTGTTTGCTGCTACCTTTCTTGGTTATGGTGTGGTTACTATTCTTTAAATAAAAAAATAAAAACAAGTATCATTTGTCTCATAGGTCACACAACAGAGAGTATATTCACTAAATTGTCACTGAAAAATTGTCCTAAAGAAAAACTTGTAAATACATTAGCCTCAATAAAGAGAACATAGGGTTAAAACCCGAATTCTCCCCTCAGACTGGCAAGAACAATGTTATGCAATCTCTTCTCACTTCTTTGACCCATCTGTTCTTGGAGGTTTAGAGGCAGCAGTAGGAACCTTCTCATCGGGTCCCTGAGCCAAACGTTCTTCCCTTCGAGCAAGTTTCCTTTCCCTGCTAGCTTTGTTCTTTGCTCGCTTTGCCTCAAACTTGTCGGACAGAGTTTTCTCTCTCGCTTTCTCAGCCTTAGTCTTGTGAATGCTTTGCATCAGAACTCTCTTGTTCTTAAAGACATTACCTTTCACTTTCATGTACATATCATGGTACATATGCTTGTCAATCTTCTTGGCCTCTCCGTCTTTACGAAGCAAGCACCTTAGCGCACGCATTCTCCTCTTCCAAAGAACCTTTGTCGGCAGCCTAGCCTCCCTTGTACCCTTACGTTTGCCATATCTAGAGTGGCGACCTTTTCTCTTGGCCTCCGTCATTCTATGAACCCGAGCCTGAGCCCGAGCCCGAGAGTGGATCTTAGTTGGTTTCTTGATAATAAACCCATCCTTCACCAATTTCCTGAGTTTTTTGGGGAATTGCCCATGGAGATCTCGCTAACTTCATTAGGGTGTAGCCATACTTTTCCCTTGCCGCACTTCGGGACACTGGCGGCGAGCCATTTCTGCGGCTTGAGAGACACCATTGACGGTGGCGATTCGAGCAAATTTCAGTATTGGTGTGCTTACTATTCTAGTGTAGGTTGTTATTTAATTTGAATCTTTTATAGTTTATGTGTTCTTTTCTTGATTTGAGTTAATGAGATAAAACACGTTAGATAAATGATTGTCTTACTATGAATTTTCCACACTCTTTTGAGTTTCACGGGAAAGACAAACTTATTTTTGTACTTTATTATTGATGGTTGCATTAAAGAAATTTACTTCATCTTCGAGATTTCTATCACTATTCGTCAAAAATTAATTGAGAGTTAAATGAGGGAGTCGAAAACGTAAGTTACTTTTTTACATTTTTTTGAGGGAGGGGGATAAAATTAGAAATAAACTAACATCAATAAATATTGAAATAATCCATACATATGTCGATGCACATAAATCAAATATAAATAACTAATCTCACTCTATCGTTCAGATATGGGCTGAAAATTTAAAGTTAAGAGATCAGTTTAACATTACAAAGTTGTGGAGTTAGAAATTCTACTCAGGAGCTAAATTACCACATATTGCAACACCTTCGTCACAAATATGTGACATATTTGCACAAACGCGTAGACAATGATTAAATTGTGATGCTTAGAAGACCAAAAATATATGACTCATCTGATTATTATAACAAAAGATGAACGAATTGAGATAGACTCATTGTTAATGAATATAGAGCTATACCATGTTTGTTTTTTAAAAAAGACTTATATGATTGCAATAGTACCTAGTTTTCTTCTTACAAGTATATCTTCTTAGAATGAATGCTATGAAGCACAAATCTTCCAAAATAAAAAAAATAATTAAAAAAAAGTATAAACTACAAATGATGAGAAATGATTTTTATGTTGAATTTAAAGATTTTAGGGAAAAATCCTTTGCAATGAAATATCGGAGAAGGCTGCGATATCGGAGATTTTAGCGAGTTCAAACTTCTGACCGGCGGAGAAGGCTGCGATATCGGAGAAGATTGCGGAAAGCCATCAATTGTCCGCACAATCGAGGAACCCTCTCGTCGGCTGTCCATATCCGGCATTGCAGCGACCGGCGGTGAAAAAGGTTTGTCTCCTGCCGTCGTTGGCTGAGCAACTGGCGGTAAAGCGAGAGATGCAGCAGCAACGATAGCCGGTTGCTGTTCATCGGAGGTTGAACTCGCTTTTCTGCGCACGCAACAATAGCAAGGCATTGCTCCAGAATTTCCATGTCAATTGATTGACCCTTACCGGGGTCACTTTGATCACTCACAGCGGCAGCATCAGCGAGATGCGTAGCAGATGCTTCGACATCAGGGTGGCTTCATCAGATGCTTCAACTTCAGCAGATGCTTCACCGGCGGCTTCATCATCAGCGGCGGCATCAACAATAACCAATTGTGAAGCGCCAGCTTTGTTGTCTTTTAACAGATGACTCGCGACAACAGTTGATACAACAGCATCGGTTTTCTTCAGCGGCGGCAATAAATTAGAGTCTCGCGTTTTCGGCACCGATTTGTTTAATTTTGATTGATGCCCTTGCGTTTGATTTTTTGATGGCTGCTTGGAAGGTTGAGGATCTATCTTTTGTGATGATGATGCTTCTGTGTTGTGTCGATAAGATTTAAGATCGTGGCCAATCTTCCTACAATCAACACAATATTGGGGCATATTCTCATACTATATTGATTGAAAATAAGTCGCCCTTTCAACTCCCAGTCTGATTCGATTAGGATGCTCCTTGAGAAGATCCAACTCTACACAGACTCGTGCCACAGACAGTCGTGACATGTTGAGTGTTGGGACGTCAATTTGAAGAGGGGTTCCGATGATACGAGCTAGCTTCCACAAGTATACCTTGTTAAATCGGTGAATAGGAAGGCCTTCGAAGGAGATCAAAACTGGGACAATAGAACTTTTGTCTGCTGGAGTAAAATTTGTTGTCCATTTTAGAACTCGCATACGATGCGAATCAAATGTCCATAGACTTTTTAACCATCAACGATAAAAGTCTTCTTCTAAATCGAAGCAGATGAACACATGTCGGGAGTCAATTGATCCAAGAGAGAAGGTTCCTTTGAAAGCTATAGTTTTAAACTCTCTCCGAAGGTAGTCCATTTTTGGACGGCCTTTAGTGAATTTCCCTACAAGTGCTAGACGAAAGGGGGCAGCCAATTGATCATCCTCTTCTTTAGTAAGAAGAAAAGTTGGCTCACCTGTTTATATCGTTGGTTCTGAATGAATCTCAAGTTGACTTAGATTTTGATTAAAAAAAAAAGAAATAGTGCTTCTGACTTTTATATATCTTTTTTGTATTGTTTAAAATATCTTCATAGAAGAAACCCATGGCATGAATCGATTGATTGTAAAATGCACAACTTCTGTAAATTTTGTTATTTATACTTTGTTCTTTATTGTAACAATACATACTGTATTTAGTATATAAAACACTATGTAACATTCGATTCAATAATGAAAAATGATAATTCCACCATTTCTATTATAATATCATAACATGATGACACGAATGTAAGATACTCATAAAACTTGGTTTTTTAAAGATAAAAAGATCAGAACTTATGTTTTGATGTACAAGTGGTACATACGAGACAAGAATCAAATTAAGTCAAGATCGCACTTATTTTTTATTTTTAATTCTTTTCCCCTTTTAGGTATGTTTTACAACATGTAAAGCATATACTCATCCCAATTTAATTTTGTATGTGGAAATAAATATATACTAAAATTACATTAACACCAACAAAGAATTTTACATTTTGTCATAATCAAAGTTGGGCACTCTCTCATATATAATTCTTTTCAACATCATTATTCTTGCTATTCTAATGTATTTTTTTTTAACGATAATACCATAGTAGACGTAACAATTTGATCCCAATTGTTCTTCTCCATAGTTGCAACTTTTTAGATCATTTTCTTTAATTTGGTGCAGATAATGTTTTAGCCCATCAAATGATAAACCAAGTAATTTGAGCTCATTGAGTTCTGAACTTTTCTCTACTAATAAGAAGGGAAGCTTTCAAGCCCATTAGCAGAGTTCGGGATAAAGTCTCGGGCACCTTATTCTACGCAAAGGTCTTTTACCTACTTTAAGCAGAAACCATAAGTTCATCTATATCTTTGAAGAAGATTGGTATTTATCCTTTTTTTTTGCAATTTAATATTCGACTTATGTTATGTGCAGTACGTGTCAAATAATATGCAAATTGTTATTTTAATATAGATTCATAAAATCTTCAAATGATAGAGTGATTGAAAATAATTCAAACAACCAAAGAGATAATGATGCTACACAATCAGATTAGATGACATAATCCTGAAACATACGTGGTAAGTACATTATATTCTTTTCTAGTACTTTTCTTTTCATTGAATAAAATAGAGATATTAAATATATGAACATTAAAAAAAAGATATGAAGGTTGAAATTTCTTGAAGATCCATATGATACATGTGAAAACACACAATTACCCTTATTTATTTTCACTTTTATGAAATATGGTTACTTATTTCGTACTTTCACCCCACTTTACATTAGAACAAAGTTGATGGTATCATTTTCTTTATTTTCAAATACATATATACATTTCTCATTTTCTTTAGATCCTCATGACAATATTACATTCTCCTTGCGTTATTATTTCCTTGTTATGGATTTCACAGATCAAGTAATTGTGAAAACGTTATATTTTTACCACACGGTCATAATTGAAACATGAGAAGTGGGAAACTATAAAGCTAGAAGATAATATTCTTGTCAACAACATAAACTTTCATGAAGTACCTGACTTTTTTTTAACACTAATATTTCATCCCACTTTATAATATTCATTATATTTTTCTACTCTTTCTAAACCCTAATTCTTGCTTAACGGCTGTCCCAAAGCACCGTGCAGATTTCAACTTTGTCAAAATAGGCTAAAGGAATATGCCTCTTCCATATGACCAGCAATCCAACTTCCTCGTAACCAAGCACGAAAATTGAAGCATAATTGTAAGTTGATGGCTATCTAAGGAAACTCTGATTTGATCCAAACTCGGTTCAGAGGCATCTATTTCATACCTAATCACAAGGAGAGGTTCACTATAGCCGGGGGTACTTTTTTCCCTTTGGGAAAAAAAATGAAATGCGTAGGGAACTCTGCTTTTGTTCACTTCAGATTTGTGGACTTGAAAGGGGACTCAACTCCGCGTCCACTGAAATCAGGACGAGCACATCCACTACATCCTTAATTATGTTTCGGATGTATAACTTTCTTTTCTCCTCAGTTCTCGCCTTTTCTATTTTTAAACATATTTTTCTCTTTTTGAAATCTCCGTCCAACGAAGTTGTGGTTTCCAGATTCACACATTCCATCATTATTGCAGATCCGCAATTAAATTTAACAAATCCACATTTTTTTCTCTTCCACACTACATTCAAAATGCAAAGTAATCCAAATTCAAAAACTGAATTTTGAGTTCGGCTGATTATAAATTTGTACATCTATATTCCAACACGATCCGATTGAAGAAACAAATTTGCTGTGCTTTTAACAATTTCTATTAATTCCAAATAAGATCATAGAAATCTACTTTTTTGCGTAACTTATTTTTTTAAAAAAAAAATCAACCAAGAATAGCAAAAAAGATGAGCTTTGGATGAAATTGAACGAAAATATGAATAAATTATAGACATCATCGAGATTATTGCCTTATAAATGCGTTCAAATCATAAATCTTAATTAGTTTTAAAATACCTAGAGTTCTTTTTTTTAAAAAAAAAAACAATCTTCATCCCACATAAAATCATGTTTCAACGGCGTAATTTTGAATTTGGATTGTGCGGTTGATTTTTGCCTTTAATTTTAGTCCTATCAGATCGAGAATTCATTGAAAACATATCCATATTCATCTTGTTCAGTTTTGATGTTCATGGCATTTATGATTAGGTTCTAATTGTTTAGGATTTAGGATTTAAGTACCCCCGTATCGATTTAGTGTTTAGGGTTTGAGCATCATTGTATTGGTTAGGGTTTAGTGGTTTAGGGTTTAAGCATTCATGTAATGGTTATGATCTAGTTGTTTAGATTTTAGGGATTGAACATCACCGTAATGGTTAGGGTCTAATTGTTTAGAGTCAACAATATGAGTCTGGCAGTGAACAATAAGATGCACTTTGCGATTTCTCAAGATGAACAATATTAACTTGACAGTGAACAAAATATTACAACAATTGGAAAACATTCAATGTTTTAGGGTTCAATAATCCCTCCATTGGTTAGGGTCTAGTTGTTTAGGGGGTTTAACGGTTTAGGGTTTAAGCATTTCTAAGTCGGGATATATATAGTCGTTTAGGGTTTATTGTAAGTATCCCTCTATCGGCTAAGATCCAGTTTTTTAGGGTTTAGGGTTTAAGCATTTCCAAATGTGTTAGGGTCTAATTGTTTAGTGGTTAAGTTTAGGGTTTAAGGATCCCTCTATTGGTTAGGGTATAGTTTTCTAGGGTCTAGGGTTCAAGCATCCCTCTATCTGCCAAGGTCTAGCTGTTTAGGGTGAAAGCATTGTAGTTTTAAAGGATTTTTTCGGACTGAAGAACTTTGAGTTTATGATGCATATTTTTAGTTACAGGATGCACAATGCAAGTAAGAGGAAACAATAGAAAAGTTTTAATGAAATTTGTGTTTGATTTTGACTGTGAACAATAGTTAGAACATGATGAACATTGTAGCTTTACAGGATTCACAATGTCATATTATGATATCTACAATGTCCAATCCTGATAAAGGAAGATTTTCTTCTGATGAAGCAAAAATAAGTCCAAAAGCAATGGCAATTTTCTCATCATCTATTTACATAATTTACAGCAGAAATCACTAAAAATTCACGGCAAGGTCTAGTTGATAGAATTTTGCCCTATGAATTTTCTAAATAAAAGCCGCTGATTTTATCTTTAAGCTCATAATTTTAACTTGTTGGTTTTTTACTACAGGATCTCAGATAGATATCTCATCTGCAATGCATTGAGGCAATATTTTAGGCCTTCTTTTTTTTCTCTGTTGAAAAGTGTTGGAAAAAGAAAGACAAACAGAATAAACATAATGTGACACCTTCTAAATTCTGAAAACAAGAGTAAAACTTGAAAATGAGTTACTATTACCTCTGCCTGCATTCGGAAGGCCACATTTGTAACCATTAGGCATGCCATTGTACGTTTCCATTGTAGCTCAATTGGTGAACATCATAGAATTATAAGATGAATAACCATATACAAAAAATGAACATCACAACCAAAACGGGATATACAGTTTATAGTTTGTTATGATCATTACCTGCCGTCTATGCTTGAGTCTGACCTAACTTATTGATTTTAGGGAATCACTTCTTAACTTGGTTCATATAATTTTCTAGGTTTAATGGGATCTAGAAGAATTTTTAGAGGGAGGAGGAAAAAGAACAGAAATAGGGGAGAGTTATGAGCAAGGGAGACAAAGAAGGGACAAAAGGAGCGAGGACATTTTCTGATTAGTCCTCTGCCCAATAACTTTCATACCATATAAACCCAAGTAGCAATTAATTACATCAGTATGAAAATGGTAAATCATAATAGTAAAAATATCAGGTCATACTATGTTGCTACTTTTTCTTTGGCATCACATAATCGAGAACTC